AGTTCGCATTCCCATTCGTAAACCAAATACAGAGCCTCCCTCTCTCTCTCTTTCTCCATATATATATAGTACAAAGGAAATAGCGGGTGCGCTGGAGAAGGAGAGTTCACCACCCATATCGGTATTCAATTACAGAAAAAAGTCTCTCGCTGAAACCCGCATCTATGGGCAGGAGAAAAGAGATCGAAATTCACTCGGTGGGTGAAAAACGGCCCGAACTCACTTCAACAGCGGTTTCTCCAGCGGGCTCCATGCGTGTGTCGCCTTTCGTCGGCTGCATCGGCAGGCAACGTGGATCCGCGCCTTGAAAACGCCATGCCTCCGGTAACGATGTATAAGATCGGGAAAGAATTATTTTCCACACGCCCATTCCTCAAGCATGCGGCACGTGCAAGAATCCCAAGCTCGTGTCGCCAAGACAAGTTCCATAAACCAACTTTCCAAATCGATGAAACGCAATGTAAATTTCCAGAATCGAGTGCCAAATATGGGGGTCCATTGCGTTTCTGCTGCTTGTTCATCGTGTTTTTTTCCAAACAAATTCCATAACCCACACGCCGACCACCGTCTTCGAGCACGTCCGCCCTGCCGAGTGGAAACGTAAAAGGAGGTCCCGGCCCAGGAGAGGGCGTGAAACGCACACGATACGCCATGCCACCGAGTTAGCACGATGGAACGATGATACCCCGCTGCCGAGAAACAATGCAACAAGGAGCTACACAATTAAAGGACTATTGTTGAGTTCAACAACGTCGCTTTTCATTTCCATTTTTGCCGAAGAGGAAATTACACCCTCATGGCCATAAATTCTAAACCAAAAGCGGATTCTACTCAAAATAATGGTGCCACTCTTTTTCAGGTGTTGGGCTAAGCATGTCTTTTCCTACCACCGGCATCCCGACAAAAGTATTTTGCCGTCAAATTGAACATTTGTTCAACAGAGCCGCTGTTCTCCCAATAAGCGCACCGCACGGCGTGACGCCAGATTGCGCAAACAGTTCTCCTTCCTAACACTGCGCCCCATCGAGCAAAACAGCGCCTCACGATAATACAAATAAATAAATAATGGAAAATAAACAAGCAACCGCCGACGTCTCGCACGCACTAAAAGCTCCGGCAACCAGAAAACAAACACCCTTCACAGGTGCTCGTATAGAGGCAAATAGCTATTAATCGCCTACCGCAGTTTGCTGCATGCCAAACGTCCCAGTGGCAAAGATAACAACCCACAACCGCCTATACAAAGCAATATTGGGCTGGGCTGCTGGCCGGATCCTGAAATGATCTAAAGAAGTCAAACATGACGGATGAAGAGAAAAGTTAAATAGAGAGGCCGTGGGTTCGCCACCTCCTCAGTGTCTGCTCCAAGAATATATATTCGGACTGCCACTGTCATGACACGATGTACTTTGTTAGTACTAGATATATTATTACTCACGAAGTGGCAAACTTTGGACTCCTCCTGCCACAAGACCCCGCCGCTTCCATTCGCCAAGTCCTGAAGTGTAAACACGCGACCACGCGGTATGCCGTCTGCAGGGTTTTCTGCTGACACCACGTAGGCAAAGAATGCCTGTATCCCGCGAGACTCCAAAAACTCATTTTTCCGTTGCGGCTCCCGCGTCATGGCGCGTGATTTCGAGCTGCCTTTATTCGCCGCTCCTTGCAGCAAAGTATTGTCACCAACATGTCGATAGTGGACCGAGAAATGGAAAGGCAACCAAAAACAAGCTGCGCACAGAGAGCACCTCGGCCCGCATAATGACAAGAAGGCTTCCTCCTCCATTTTCCTCCAGTAATATTAGAGTAACAGGGGGTTGAAAGAACTCAAAACATATTCGACCATGAATAGAAAAATCAGTCCCAACGGCACACGACAACCAGGCGCAATTGATGATACACTTAGGATTGTCCTCAATAATGTGTTTTAACACCTCACCGTCACCTCACCCCACGAGGCACACACAATAATGTGCCCATTGTATATATGCATGCACGCCCATGCATGCCCGTTGGTGCTCTCTTTTGCACGACACGCACCGCTGCCGTCCTGCCTGGCTGCATGGGCGGAGCACCGTAACTGTTTCTGTTTTGTTTCCATTGCATTGAGTGGGCGACCTCTCTCTCTCTCCCTCTGTGTGTGTGTTTTGCTTTACGGGAGCAATGAGAGTGTGTGTGCGCTGGTCGTCCCACGCTTCGGCTTTTATTGTTTTTTTTTGTAATTTATTTAATTTTTTTCCCTGTTTGCTTCAAAATTCTTGCTTTAATTTTTTTTGCTTTTTTTAAAATCCCTCTAATCCCCCATCCACTCTTTTTTGCTTTTGGGGGCAATCACTATGGACTTTTTTTCTTTTCTACTCTTCCCTCTTTAATTGTTTCTTCCGCACTCTTCCTGTGAGGGGTGCCGTGTGTTTCCGCCCAACTGCTCCACTCGCACACCCACCGACACGCTCATGACGACGGCCCTGTGCGCCTCGCCTGCTGCACGCATGAGGAGGGGCCGCGACGAACGGCGCGCCGAGGGAGCCGTGACGTGTGGGCGTGCGACGAGGGCCGGTGGGCGGAGCACACATTTCTTCCCTCCTGTTTTGTTTTTGCGGTCAGGGCGGGCAGACACCCGCAGCGCCACACACACAGCCACACCCTGCCGCCGTGTTTTTAAGATTTCTTTTTTTTTGCTGCGCTCACTCTCCCGATGGAGTGACGCGACCGCCGTCGTGTCTGCGTGCTTCTCTCAGTCCCCACACACACGAGTGACTGTGCTCTGCGGGCCGCACTCACGCGCAGATGAGAGGGCTGAGGGGAGCAGCAACACGCGGATGGCCGCATGAAATATAAACGATGTGCGGACACACAGAGGGTCGGACGGCTGAAAGACATTTAAATATCTTTTAATTTTATTTTCGGACAAAATATACAGACGGTTTGGTGTGGCCACACGGCAGCCGGCTTTCTCTTTTAAATTTGTGTGGAACAGTAATGGACGATTTCTTTTTATTTATAATTATTTTGTGTGATGGGGTTTGTGTAAGTTGAAGGGGAAAGTCTTTTTTTGTTTTGGATAAATGTTGTGTGAATTGCCACTGCTTGGGCTGCAGTGCAGTCATGAGTTTGAGCGGTCTTCTTCTTGTTGTTTCCGCCACGCGTCTCTGCTGTACATTTTGTGCTTCTCTCCACATACTCCGCTTCCTTTTTTCTACTTCTTTGCTTTGTGTTTCTGCAGGCACACACAACCACACACACAAGATGCACATTGCGGTGGATTTGATTGCTTCTTTTGCAGTGCATGCTGGCAGTTGCGGGTGGCTGCTGCTTCCTCCGTGGCCATGAAGAGAAGGAAGGAGGGAGGAGGGAGTGCGCAGCCCGCGTCACCTTTCCTGCGGGTGTTTTCCGCCGCGTGTGACTGCATTGAGTTGGGCTCCGTGTTTCATTGATGGCGGGATGGCTGGAAATTTTGGTGCCGCGTCATGGATGGCTGAGGGTCCACTAGCGCGTGTGCCTGGTGTGGTGGGTGCTCGCTCCGTGTGCGTTGTGTTGTGGCCGCGGGTTTTGGCAATTTCCCGTTGGCTGTGGGATTTAGCTGGGGAAATGGTGGTGGATGTCTTCTCCTCCTGCATGGTGGGTGGCTGCTGGCGTTGTGTGCCTTCCTTGCGTGGATGCCGTCTCGTGGTGTGTGAGCTGTGCGGCTGGGCCTGCTGCCCTCTCCTCATTTTGTCTATTCTCTCTCGCTTTATCCGCTGTGCTCCGTCCCTCTCCCTCTCGTTTCATTCTTTTTCTTCTGTACCATCGCTCAGCTGACTGACACCAGCGACTTCACTACGGGTGACGGTGACTGCGATGGTGACGGTGCGGCGCCGTGTTGGTCGTTGCGCTCTTGTGCTGCTGCTGCTCGCTCCGTGTGCGTGAGGGCGACAGGAGACGGTAATAATGATAACAGCAGTCCTCCCAGCCCTAAGGTAAGGAAACCAGATCCTACAAAAAAGTGCTCTTGGTGCATTACAGCCAGAGGGTGGGGAGACCGGTGGGCCACAGAGAGAGAGTGGGAGAGACAGTGAGGAAGGTGTAAGAAGACAAGGACCTTCTTTGCCAACGGAAGCCGGCACGGCCATCACTGGACACACACCAGTTCCGCCAGAGTCACTGAGTTCGGCTAACGATAATCCAGAGCCACCAGGTTTGGCAACTCAGTCTCCACACACACAAGTTGCGACCGGTATGTCAGATGCACAAAATAAAAGGCGCAGGAAAACACACAAGGTGATGAGAATCATAAAGCAGAGATACAAAAATCAGAAGATCAAAATGTCTAATGTAAATACAACAACTACAGAGGCGCCAACCACGACGACCACCCGTGCACCGTCACGTCTTCGCGAAGTCGACGGCAGCCTCAGCAGCTCTGCGTGGGTGTGTGCCCCGCTGCTGCTCGCCGTATCCGCGCTGGCGTACACCACTCTGTGCTGAAGAGGTGCATGCGAGCTGTGCGTGCCAGCACTCAACCGCGGGGATTTTTGCGCGTCTACTGTGGTCCGATGTAAATAAATAATAGAAAATAATGATTGTGTTTTGCTTCACTTGCTTTCGCTGCCGTGCTGTGTGCTCCGCGTTGTGGCTCCCTGTATCCGTCACGTTGAACGCATCCCAGACACACTCATATGCATGGCACGCCCACAACTGTTTGCGTGGACGCATGTCTATTTGTGTGCTGCTGCATGCACACTGGAGCCATTTGGTGCAGCTTCTTTTTTGTGTTTTTACTGTTTTTCTCATTGCTGATTTTTTAATTTAGTTCTGTTTTTCCTTTTTTGTGCTTTTTTTTTTTTTTTCAAATTATTGCGGCGCGTTGTGCGTTTTCTCACTTTCATTGGTTCAATGTTTCTCATCGAATGCGTGTTGCTGCTGCTGATGCTTTTTACTGTGCCGTTTCTTTTCTTTTGCTTTCCCCCTGCGTTGACGGGGCGTTAGTTTGTGCTGAAGGCTGCACGCAAGTGGCAGGAGTGATGGCGATGATGACTGGCCGTGTGCTGCTGGTGTGTGCCCTCTGCGTGCTGTGGTGCGGTGCGGCCGATGGAGATGTTGTTGTTTCTGGTGGGGAGGACAACATTCTGAAGGAATTATTTATTCCAGTTGCGAGATTGCAGTTAAGACAAGAACAAGGAGCAGCAGAAGCAGCAGCTGACGCAGAGGCAGCAGCAGAAACAGCAGCAAAAGAAGCAAAGGCAGCAGCAGAAGCAGCAAAGGCAGCAGCAGAGACAGCAGCAGAAGCAGCAAAGGCAGCAGCAGAAGCAACTGAATCAGCAGCAGCAGCAGCAGCTGAATCAGAAGCAACAAAAGCAACGACAGTATCAGAAGCAGCAACAAAAGCAAAAGCAGCAGCAGAAGAAGCAAAAGCAGCAGAAACAAAAGCAAAGGCAGCATCAGAAGCAGCAACAAAAGCAAAGGCAGCATCAGAAGCAGCAACAAAAGCAAAAGCAGCAGCAACAAAAGCAAAGGCAGCAGCAGAGGCAGCAGCAACGGCAGCAGAAGCGGCAGAAGCAGCAAAGGCAGCAGCAACAAAAGCAAAGGCAGCAGCAGAGGCAGCAAAGGCAGTGGCAGAGGCAGCAGCAGAAGCAGAAGAAGCAGCAGCACAGGCAGATGCGGCAACACTAATAGCAAAATCAGCAGCAGAAGTAGCAAAAGAAGCAGCAGAAAAGGCAGCAAAAGCAAAAGCAGCAGCAGAAACAGCCGAAGCAAAAGCAGCAGCAACAACGGAAGCGGACGCAAAAGCAGCAGCTGCAAAGACACCAGAGGCAGCAGCAGAAGCGCTGCGATATACAGGAGTCGGAGAAGAGGAAGTAAAAACAGCAACACATGATCAGGATAATTCAGTCGAACACCATTCTGGAGAAAAACAAGAGCTTATAAAAGAAGAAGAACCGGAACGACAAGAAAACGAACAGCATGAAAAGCAGCAACACCAACAGCGTGAACATTCTGCAGGAAATGGTGAGGAATCCGCGAAAGATAAAACTGCTAATGGTACAAATGCAACCGCAATTAAGGAAGACAGCGACGGCATCACCGCGGTCGCCCACGCCACCTCCCCTCTCTTGCCTCTTCTTCTTGTTGCGTGTACGGCTGCTGCTGCGGTGGTGGCCGCGTGAGAGTGAGGGAGAGAGAGCCGTGCACCGCCCGCACACACACTCGTCCTTCTCTCTCTCTCTCCCTCTGTGTGTGTGTTTTGCTTTACGGGAGCAATGAGAGTGTGTGCGCTGGTCGTCCCACGCTTCGGCCTTTTTGTTTTACTTGTGAATTTAATTTTTTTTCGGTTTGTTTCAAAATTCCTTTTTCATTTTTTGTTTGTTTGTTTTTCCAACGTCCCACATCCCTTTTTTTTGCTTTTGGGGCAATCACTGTGGACGTTTTTTCTTTTCTACTCTTCCCTCTTTAATTGTTTGTTGCTGCACTCCTCCCGTGAGGGGTGCCGTGTGTTTCCGCCCAACTGCTCCACTCGCACACCCACCGACACGCTCATGACGACGGCCCTGTGCGCCTCGCCTGCTGCACGCATGAGGCGGGGCCGCGACGAACGGCACGCTGAGGGAGCCGTGACGTGTGGGCGTGCGACGAGGGCCTGTGGGGCGGAGCACACATTTCTTTCCCTCCTGTTTTGTTTTTGCGGTCAGGGCGGGCAGACACCCGCAGCGCCACACACACAGCCACACCCTGCCGCCGTGTTTTTAAGATTTCTTTTTTTTTTTGCTGCGCTCACTCTCCCGATGGAGTGACGCGACCGCCGTCGTGTCTGCGTGCTTCTCTCAGTCCCCACACACACGAGTGACTGTGCTCTGCGGGCCGCACTCACGCGCAGATGAGAGGGCTGAGGGGAGCAGCAACACGCGGATGGCCGCATGAAATATAAACGATGTGCGGACACACGGAGGGTCGGACGGTTGAAAGACATTTAAATATCTTTTATTTTTATTTTCGGACAAAAAATATACAGACAGTTTGGTGTGGCCACACGGCAGCCGGCTGCTTTTTTAAATTTGTGTGGAACAGTAATGGACGATTTCTTTTTCATTTATAATTATTTTGTGTGATGGGGTTTGTAAAATGAAGGGGAAAGTTTTTTTTGTTTTGGGTAAATGTTGTGTGAATTGCCACTGCTTGGGCTGCAGTGCAGTCATGAGTTTGAGCGGTCTTCTTCTTGTTGTTTCCGCCACGCGTCTCTGCTGTACATTTTGTGTTTCTCTCCACATACTCCGCTTCCTTTTTTCTACTTCTTTGCTTTGTGTTTCTGCAGGCACACACAACCACACACACAAGATGCACATTGCGGTGGATTTGATTGCTTCTTTTGCAGTGCATGCTGGCAGTTGCGGGTGGCTGCTGCTTCCTCCGTGGCCATGAAGAGAAGGAAGGAGGGAGGAGGGAGTGCGCAGCCCGCGTCACCTTTCCTGCGGGTGTTTTCCGCCGCGTGTGACTGCGATGAGTTGGGCTCCGTGTCCCACTGATGGCGGGATGGCTGGAAATTTTGGTGCCGCGTCATGGATGGCTGAGGGTCCACTAGCGCGTGTGCCTGGTGTGGTGGGTGCTCGCTCCGTGTGCGTTGTGTTGTGGCCGCGGGTTTTGGCAATTTCCCGTTGGCTGTGGGATTTAGCTGGGGAGATGGTGGTGGATGTCTTCTCCTCCTGCATGGTGGGTGGCTGCTGGCGTTGTGTGCCTTCCTTCCGTGGATGCCGTCTCGTGGTGTGTGAGCTGTGCGGCTGGGCCTGCTGCCCTCTCCTCATTTTGTCTATTCTCTCTCGCTTTATCCGCTGTGCCCCGTTCCTCTCCCTCTCGTTTCATTCTTTTTCTTCTGTACCATCGCTCAGCTGACTGACACCAGCGACTTCACTACGGGTGACGGTGACTGCGGTGGTGACGGTGCGGCTTCGTATGGTGTGCGCCGTGTTATTTATTGCGCTCTCGTGCTGCTGCTGCTTCTGCAATTATGTGTGCGTGACGGCCGCTGGTGATGGTAATGACTCCCACACAATCGCCAGTACTCTAGAAGGATCACGTGGAACCAATACGGCAGGATCAACAAGTTTGGGAAGCGGTGCGGAACAGTCACAAAGTACGTCCTGTGTGGAAGGGCCTCAAGGTTGAGCAGCCGGCGAAGGAAAAAAAAACACTGAGAATGCAGAGACTAAACATTTTGGTAAGGCAAAGGAAAAAAATGTGGCTAAAATTAATGTACAGGCAAAAACGACGACGACAACAGAGACGCCAACCACCACCACCACGACGACCACCCGTGCACCGTCACGTCTTCGCGAAGTCGACGGCAGCCTCAGCAGCTCTGCGTGGGTGTGTGCCCCGCTGCTGCTCGCCGTATCCGCGCTGGCGTACACCACTCTGTGCTGAAGAGGTGCATGCGAGCTGTGCGTGCCAGCACTCAACCGCGGGGATTTTTGCGCGTCTACTGTGGTCCGATGTAAATAAATAATAGAAAATAATGATTGTGTTTTGCTTCACTTGCTTTCGCTGCCCTGCTGTGTGCTCCGCATTGCTGCTCCCTGTATCCGTCACGTTGAACGCATCCCAGACACACTCATATGCATGGCACGCCCACAACTGTTTGCGTGGACGCATGTCTATTTGTGTGCTGCTGCATGCACACTGGAGCCATTTGGTGCAGCTTCTTTTTTGTGTTTTTACTGTTTTTCTCATTGCTGATTTTTTAATTTAGTTCTGTTTTTCCTTTTTTGTGCTTTTTTTTTTTTTTTCAAATTATTGCGGCGCGTTGTGCGTTTTCTCACTTTCATTGGTTCAATGTTTCTCATCGAATGCGTGTTGCTGCTGCTGATGCTTTTTACTGTGCCGTTTCTTTTCTTTTGCTTTCCCCCTGCGTTGACGGGGCGTTAGTTTGTGCTGAAGGCTGCACGCAAGTGGCAGGAGTGATGGCGATGATGACTGGCCGTGTGCTGCTGGTGTGTGCCCTCTGCGTGCTGTGGTGGGGTACTCCTGGCGGTAGGTGTGACGAGGGTGGGACAGGTGGAACTCCGCCTGGTGCTTCTGCGAGTGATGTTGTTGGTAACGGTTCACAGGAATCACCACCAATTGCACAGGGAGGATCACACACCCCGGGTTTAGAAGCACCAGGTATTAAAAACAAAAATGAGGATCCGGATGACGAACAACTTTTGACAGAAGATGAAGAAGAGGAAGAAGAAAGCTCTGATGAAGAGGATGAAGATGAGGATCGGGATAGAAGACTACAAATATCAGGAAAAGAAGGAATACCAACAACACCACCACCAGGAGGAGGAGGAGGAGGAAAATCAGAAGCCGCTGGTGGAAAACTGGAAAAAGTAAACGAAGATGGACCGAAACCTGAAAAACAACACCCAGTCGAAAGTGCAGCACAAAAAACTTCAGAAAAAGAAACAGTTGATGCTGGTGAAGCGGGAGTAAACCAACAAAATGAAGGCAGTAGACTAAAGCCGCAAGAAAACCCAAATCCAGTCCAAGAAGAGGATACAAGAAATGGAGAAGGGCATCAACAGACGCAGGAAAAAGAACAACAAACAAATGTTGAAGAAATAACACCACATAATCCTGCAGGAGACCATTCTCCGGGAGAACACAACGGCAATGATGGTTCTAAAGAAATGGAAGAAGGGGAAGAAGGAGGTGTTGAGGATCATGAAAGACATCGGGCTCAGGAGAGAGAAGAGGCTGCACATGTCTCAGGTGCCCCGAAAGTAAATTCAGCTGATATTCAGCAGGAAGTCCAACGCACACATGCAGGAGGAACTCTGACAGGAATCAAACAAAAAACTGGAGAAGAAGAGGATGATGAAACAGAAGAGGAACGAGAACAACAAAAGGAACAAAATCAAGAGAATCCTCCAGGCAAAGAACAAGAAACCAAAACTGGTGCAAACGCCACTAATCAAATAAACACGACGCCTGGTGACAGTGACAGCAGCACCGCGGTCTCCCACACCACCTCCCCTCTTTTGCTTCTCCTTGTTGTTGTTGCGTGTGCGGCTGCGGCTGCGGTGGTGGCCGCGTGAGAGTGAGTGTGAGAGTGCCGTGCACCGCCCGCACACACACTCGTCCTTCTCTCTCTGTGTGTGTGTCCCCTTGCATGGACTCTCGCCCTCACCTCACCCCACGAGGCACACACATAATGTGCCCATTGTATATATGCATGCACACCCATGCAGGCCCGTTGGTGCTCTCTTTTGCACGACACGCACCGCTGCCGTCCTGCCTGGCTGCATGGGCGGAGCACCGTAACTGTTTCTGTTTTGTTTCTATTGCATTGAGTGGGCGACCTCTCTCTCTCTCCCTCTGTGTGTGTGTTTTGCTCTACGGGAGCAATGAGAGTGTGTGCGCTGGTCGTCCCACGCTTCGGCTTTTTCTTCTTTTTTTTACTGTTTTATTTGTTGTGGTTGAGAGCACCTGTTACCCCTTTCTTTATCGATTATTGGTCTGCTTTGACTGCAAACGTATGATTTTCTATTTTTATTTTATTATTTTTTTCCTTTGAGATATTGCCAGTGTTTCTTATTCTTCTCAAGCCATTAAATGTTTTCTGCTACAGCATGCGTCAGTTGGTCCACGTCACCCCACGGTCTGCAGTGCTGCTGGTGCTTCTGGTTGTGATGATGTTTGTGATGTGTTGTGCCGGCGGGTGCTTTGCTGCCAGCCTGACGTGCTCCTGCTCCTCTGACAAAGCGATGCGTGCGGACAGGGCGAAGTCGATCCCGGCTGTGGTGAGGGACGTGCCTCTTGGATATGAGGGTGCGTCGCAGACATGCACCGTCATTGGGAGGAATGGATGGGCGCCCACCCGCATCAATGTGTCGACAAGGGACGTGGATGGCACCAGGAAGTATTGCAGCTCAGAGCGGTAGCACGCAATGAATTTATTGTTGGCAATTGCGAGTGTGAAGGTGACTTTTTTCTATGCTGAGGAAAGGGAAGTATTTGTTTCGTTATACTTTGCAGCCACTGTTCGTTAATGGCCTGCGGGCTGTCCGTAGCGATGTGGCCAGTTTTTCCCTCTTGAACGGTGCTGTCGTGCGAGAGGGTGTTCCCAAAGAGTCGGATGCTCAGTTGTCGAGGACGGGGGCATTCCCACAGCGTGTGCGGCAGGGCCTCCCGTGTATTGTCGGTGGCTCAGCGGCTGGTGGTGGTTGCAGCAGAGGAGTGGCTGAAGGGCTACGGCTGTCATTGGAGCTTGCAGAGGTGCGTTGTTCGTCTTTTGCTCGTTGATACGCCTGACATTTTCGGTAGTGACCTGCGCGTGAGGCACTTGTTGGGGAGACCGTGGAGCTGTCGCAGAATCCACATTTGAGGCCTTCTGCAACGATTGGAGTGCCGGGGTTAGTGCGTCGGGCGTGTGCCTTCATACTGTGGACGGACGAGAAGACGCTGCTGCAGCTTGGGCAGGGCGACGTTGATCCGCTGCTCGTCGTTCTACGAAGAGGTGCCGTGGACACGCCAGGTGGAGGTTCCGGAGGAGGTCGGGGCGGTCCTGCCTCTTCAGTGTGAGAGGAGGAGCAGCACCACCAACACAAAGGGTTGCTTGTGATCTGCAGGGCGCGTGCCAGTATGCCGAGGAGTGGGCAGGAGTCGCATTGTATCTGCGCGAAGTCGTGATTCGATGCCCGATGTCTGCCGGCACACCAGGAACACAGCCCTTGCCACACCGACGAGCGCCTGGCGTGCGGTGTGTGCGACTTCTTCTTCCTCCTCGACTTCCTTCCAGTACAACCCCTTGACGGCGGCAAGGAATTCCACGTGCCAGATCGGGACGCCTCATTGCTGGAGGGATCGTGCAATCGTGGCTTCTTCGTCAGCGGCCTCATTGCGTGGGGCACCGCAGTGCGATGGGTAAAATATAAGGTGTGCGGGGTGAACTCGCTTCACCAAGGAAAGCAGCATAGCCCAAATCTCTTCAGCAACGCAGTCACGCACGGCCAGTGGGGCAGCGCGGAGTGCCTCAGTTGCCGACAGGGAGTCGGTTGACACCGGGGTTTGTGTGGACGATTGGGATGTTTCCGGACGAGGAGGTATGAGATGTATAGTGCTCTTTTCAGTGGCATGGCACTCTGCTCCCTATGAGCGTGCGAGTATGCCGGCTGCTGCACGATGGACCTCCACAGGGAGAACATTTGTCTTTGTGGGGCTGTATAATGGTGCAGCGGATCCAGATGCGAGTTCAGCGAGTGATGAAGAACCGTCTGTCCATAATTCAAAATTATAATCTTCTAGAGAGGAGTAAAGGGAATCAAAAGCCGTGCGCTTGACGTCGTCAGAGGCGTCGTTGGCAAAGGGTGGCTGATAATATTCCACGTTATTGCAGCCCGCAGCGTCTCAGGGAATAATTCGATGTTGGGTAATAGGAGGAGCGTGATTGTGGTTGTGTGGTATCCCAATAGTGCCACATACACATTCTAATCCATTAATAACGGCATCTCTCGGAAGCGGTATTGATGTCGCCGCTTTCCTATGCATGGACAGCGGCACAGGTTCCGAGTGGATACGGGAGCGCAAATCCTCGTGATCATGGAGGCGTATATAGCGTTTGTGTTGTGTGATTGCACGGAGCCAGAGTATCCTCCGGAGCGGGAGAAGATTGGCTTCCAAATAGACAGATGTATCTTCCGTTGGTGCACTAATGCCAAGGTGTGTTTTACAACGGTTGCGGTACAGTACCTTCATATTATGGAGGCAGGTGGGGGCAAGGCATGGGACAATTGCATCGCCAGAATACAGTTACACACCATGGACGTATCCAATCGAAAAGGATTGCGTATTGTGATGGAACGCACCAGCCCGTGCGACCGGTCGCAATTGGTAACGGCGTGGCGTTGTCTGCTTTGCAGCGGTGGAAGCGTGCGGACCAGAATTAAGAAGTCGATCGAACGTGGTGTCCAGCAAGCGCACTGGGCGGGACTGAATACGCAGGTTCCTATTGCCAGGATGGAGATCGACCATTTCCTTGTCAGACCGTGTGTGTGTAGAGTTGTAGAATAGAGCAGCTTCGCTCTTATCAACGTTGATTTTGAGGTTGTGCTCGGCAGCCCATGTCGTTGTAAGTGACAGGACCGGTTGCATTGCCGCAGCACAGGCATGGATGTCCGCACCTGAGGCAACAATTTTGAGGTTGTCAGTGTACATGAATGCGGCGGCAGAATAGATGTTCTCCAGGCGGTGCAGCACATCATCCACACAGTGGAGGAGAGTTGGGTCCCGGGACGCTGCCTTTTGGTGCTCCGTCTGAGGCGAGTTGTTTCCGGGAGTGCTGTTCACGAGTGCATACCCTAACATAGCGGCCCCGCAGGTAGTTGTGCAGCCAGAGTTTCGTTCGGTGGGCGAAGGCGCGGGAGTCTGTCAAGCATGCCGAATAACTTCCCATTGTCAACGGTGTCGACCGCAGTCGAAAAATCAATCTGCTACGAGCGAGCGATGGTGACGAGGGTGCCGTGTGGGGCGCCGCCTCCAGGGCGCTCATACTCCACAGTGCTGGACTCATTCAATCCACGAGTAATTTTACCAATAACAATTGTCATCGCGTCCGATGTTGAACGCGAAGGTGTAAAGCAAAATTGACGTGGGTGGTGCGGCAATAACGTTGACAGACGGCGGTGAATCATTCTTTCGGTTTAGTGAAAAAGAGAGTGATTTGATAGGTCTGTAATTCACTGGGCGGCATGGACCCTTCCCAAGATTGGGGAATAGGAATAGTGTCCACCGTATTCCAGGAGCCAGGCAGACTGCCATTTGCGAAGGAGTTGTGGATCATCGTTCTAAGAGGGCCGCGCGCAACGGGCCCGAGATGGTGCGGGAACTCATTCAACAAGTCGCCGGGGCCAGGGGCTGAGCCGAGCAAAGAGTCACGGATGGCTACGCCAAGTACATACGGCGTGAGAGGCCGATCCATTTCCCAGCCACCAGGAACCAAAGGAGTGCGGCGGCAGCAGCAGCAGTATAATGTAATGTGGCACGTGAAACCGCACAAAATGGGGGACGAGGAGATTTGCCTGTTGCCGAGGCAGAGCACAGACGCGGTCCGAAGATCAGTTCGGAGCACCACCGATTCCAGGGGATGAGGGTGCGGCGCCGCCACGCCGCGGAGATATCGCCAGCTCGGGCTGGATGAAGCCCCAAGTTTTTCCGCGCGGGCTTCCAGAAGCATAGTGAAGTCACAGCGTAATGTTTGATTTTAGTCCTCCACTTTTTGGATTAATTCGGCTCGAAGCAGGCTGTCTCCTGGCGAGGCGATGTGTGTGCTTTGTGTGCTGCTTCGGCGGCGGGCTCGGCTTGTTCCATTTCGTTCGTCCAGATTGTTTTGGGCTGTCACGACCGCCGCGCGGGATATGGCGCTCAGCTGCTCGTAAGATACCACTGCGAATTTCCAGACATGTGGACGCGGCGGCAAGGAGTGTTTCACACAACGATGTAAAAGCAGGCCAGTCCGCTTTGCGCAGGGCAAAAGTGGCTTTCTCCCGCCGAGGCAGCGTGTTGGCTAGTCGTGGAGTGCCATCGTCCATCTCTACCAAGTAAGATATTAAGCAGTGGTCCGAGTCCATGTAGGGGGCGAATGCCCAGTGGGAGATGCGTAGGGCGCAATACGCAGTCACTTCAGGGGACGAGACATTACGATTTGTGATCCGCGTTGCCTGCGCCGGGTAATTTGCCAGCCCGAAATCCATGTCAATTAGAGTAGAGGACAAATCCTCTCCTCCAGTCGTTGGTGGCGTATGACTGTCCCGGAGTCCATGATGCAAATTCAGTTCACCCGCGATAATCGCTGCGGGGCCTGAGCGACGAATGGTGCTAATAAACGAAGAGCTCTGAACGGTTGCTGTGCGAGGGCTGTAGAGATTCACCACGCAGATGCTGGGAAATCCCTGTGGAGTTGCACGGACAGCAACGGTCTCCAGGCAGTTTGTGCCAGGGAGCGACAGGCGCTCGCACGGCAGAGAGTGGCGCACCAGAGTGGCACCGCCACCACCGCGCCCAGTGCGGCCTGAAGAAAGCTATTATGGACGGTTAGTTTTGCCGCTGTGGCACTTCGAGTATTTGTTTTCTGGAAACGAACGATGTCAGGTGGATGCTGCTCCAGTCGCACAGCAGATGCAATCTTTTTTACGGACGAGAGGCCTGCAATGTTGAGCTGCCAATTAGTGATGTAGCCATCCTCCTCGGTGCCATGGTTCTTGTGAACATCACCGCCACGGGTGACATCAACGGAGTGGCCGCAGCGAAACGGTCGTGCAGTTTTGCCCGACAGTCTGCAGGCAGACCGTTTCACCTCCCCGCACCGGGCATGGCGTGGAACCTTCTCGAGGAGTGGAGTCGTCTTGGTCTCCGTTGTGCTCGCCGCAATGCAGCGCAGCGGAGTTCCTACATGCAACCAGAGCCCCAGCACCGCGACAAGGTGCGACTTCATCGCTGGGGCTTACCGAATGTTGTAAAGGACCTCATTTAAATTTTTTTTTTCTTTCTTTTGCTGCTTGCGTTTTATTGGAATAATAGTTATCTTTGTGTTTTCCCAATGGCTGTTTGACTGCTCTACACATCGTTATGAGTGACGTTTTTTCCATCTTGTTTTCTTTTTTGTCCAGTCGCTGTGTCGGCCTCACTGCTGTGCGTGCCACGGACTGCACGTACGAGGACTGAAGGAACACGCCGGATGCCGGACGAATTATAAGGGATGTTGTGTGGGCTCGTGGAGCAGCAAGATATCTTCTTTTTTCTCATTATTTTCTGCTATTTTCGCGGGGAGGATGTATACACAAACACACGGTCGTCTATATTGTGCTGGATGGCACATGAAGTAAAATTACGACCTAATCTATTTTCTTCATCCTTTCCGGGAGTCTTGCCGGACTCTCAACTCTGTTTTTAATTATTTTTTTAATTTCTGGTTTGCAGGACGGTGTGTGTTTTTTTCCTTCCCACTGATTCAAACCGCCTCATGGTGTGTGCAAATTGCCATAATTTGTCCTGCGTGTGGCTGAATAACTTTTCTTTTCTTTTCACTCTGCGTTGACGGGGCGTTAGTTTGTGCTGAAGGCTGCACGCAAGTGACAGGAGTGATGGCGATGATGACTGGCCGTGTGCTGCTGGTGTGTGCCCTCTGCGTGCTGTGGTGCGGTGCCGTTTTTGTGTCGGCGGCCGGTGATGGCGATGGCGATGGCAGAGGTGTCAGTGAAAAAGCTCCAAAGGGATTACCGGAGCCTGGCGAACGAGGGGCTAACAACGCGGGGCATTCTTCGAACAAAAATAATGAGATTAATTCCAATCTGCAAGGGGGGACAGGCACAGGAACAACAACAGACAGAGTTGTGAAGGAAGAAGAGGAAGAAGAGGAAGAAGCAGAAACGGATGATGATGATGATGATGATGATGATGATGATGAAAAAGATAAAAGTAATGAAAAGGAAGATACGCCACAAGCCGGGAAGTCTGAAAGTTCATCGAAAGAGGTGGCAGCAACAATACCAACAGCATCTGGTCTCAGTGGAGCCGGTGGTGGCAGTCCTTCTGGTGATGTTGGCTCGAGTGGAAGTCCTGACGGAAGTGAAGATTTGAATCTGGAGGCTTCTGGTCCTGTCGTGAACTCTTCGCCTCCCCTTTCCAATGCTGCCGCTGGTGGTTTGCAGAATGCCGACGGTGCTTTACCGTCTCAGAAGAATAATTTCTCAGAAACAGGTGTGCATTCAGGAACGACGCCTCCAACACCCTCACTGCCCAAATCACAGGCACCCGCGATAACACAACCAAAAGCAGAAGAGCAGTCCCCCACTGAACAGGACACAGAAGATAGTCCAGACACAGAGGAGGTACATCCACAGGACGGGGAAGTAAATGGTACGGCACTCAACAGCAGCCTCGGGCATTTGTCGCAGATGAATAACAGCGATGCTGGCACCATGCGTGGGAGCGGACTGCTGCCGCTGCTTCTTCTGTTGTTGGGACTGTGGGGGTTTGCGGCTCTGTGAGGAGTGACTGGCTACCGCGTGGAACAATTGTGCCCTCCCGAGCACAAAAGTACTATTACCATAGGAACAAATTTCACTCATAAAATCCTTTTTTTTGCTTATTTTAAATTTATTTTCCTGTTTTCTACTTTCTCGTTTTTTCTGTTAGTTTTTTTTTTTTTTCTCATCCCCCATCCCTTTTTAATTTTTGCTTTTGGGGCAATCACTGTGGACCTCTTTTTCTTTTCTACTCTTCCCTCTTTAATTGTTTCTTCTGCACTCTCCCTGTGAGGGGTGCCGTGTGTTTCCGCCCAACTGCTCCACTCGCACACCACCGACACGCTCGTGACGACGGCCCTGTGCGCCTCGCCTGCTGCACGCATGAGGAGGGGCCGCGACGAACGGCGCGCTGAGGGAGCCGTGACGTGTGGGCGTGCGACGAGTGCCTGTGGGGCGGAGCACACATTTCTTCCCTCTTTTTTTGTTTTGCGGCCAGGGCGGGCAGACACCCGCAGCGCCACACACACAGCCACACCCTGCCGCCGTGTTTTTAACATTTTTTGCTGCGCTCACTCTCCCGATGGAGTGACGCGACTGCCGTCATGTCTGCGTGCTTCTCTCAGTCCCCACACACACGAGTGACTGTGCTCTGCGGGCCGCACTCACGCGCCGATGGGAGGGCTGAGGGGAGCAGCAACACGCAGATGACCCCATGAAATATAAACGATGTGCGGACACACAGAGGGTCGGACGGCTGAAAGACATTTAAATATCTTTTAATTTTTTTCGGGCAAAATAAATGCAGACAGTTTGGTGTGGCCACACGGCAGCCGGCTTTCTCTTTTAAATTGTGTGGAACAGTAATGGACGATTTCTTTTTATTTATAATTATTTTGTGTGATGGGGTTTGTGTAAGATGAAGGGGAAAGCTTTTTTTGTTTTGGATAAATGTTGTGTGAATTGCCGCTGCTTGGGCTGCAGTGCAGTCATGAGTTTGAGCGGTCTTCTTCTTGTTGCTTCCGCCACGCACCTCCGCTGTACATTTTGTGCGTCCCTCCACGTACTCTGCTTCCTTTTTCCTCTACTTCTTTGCTTTGTGTTTCTGCAGGCACACACAACCACACACAAGATGCACGTTGCAGTGGATTTGAATGCTTCTTTTGCAGTGCATGCTGGCAGTTGCGTGTGGCGGCTGTTGTCCTCTTCCGTGGCCATGAGGAGAAGGGAGGAGGGAGTGCGCAGCCCGCGTCACCTTTCCTGCGGGTGTGGAGCACCGCGTGTGGCTGGTGTGGTGGGCGTTCGCTCAGTGTGCGTGACGGCGACAGGAGACGGTAATAATGATAACAGATGTCCTCCCAGCCCTAAGGCAAGGAAACCAGATCCTACAAAAAATACGCTTGGTGCATTACAGCCAGATGGTGAGGAGACCGGTGGGCCACAGAGAGAGTGGGAGAGACAGTGAGGAGGGTTTGTGAAGTCAAGGACCTTCTTTGCCAACGGAAGCCGGCACGGCCATCACTGAACAGACACGAGTTCCGCCAGAGTCACTGAGTTCAGCTAACGATAATCCAGAGCCACGAGGTTTGGCATCTCAGTCTCCACACACACAAGGCGCGACCGGTATGTCAGATGCACAAAACAAAAGGGAGCGGTAAAATACACAAGTTGATGAGAATCATAAAGCAGAGATACAAAAAACAGAGGATCAAAATGCCAAATGTAACTACAACGACAACACAGTCACCAACCACGACGACCACCCGCGCACCGTCACGTCTTCGTGAAATCGACGGCAGCCTCAGCAGCTCCGCGTGGGTGTGTGCCCCGCTGCTGCTCGCCGCATTCGCGCTGGCGTACACCACTGTGGGCTGAAAAGGTGTATGCGAGCTGTGCGTGCCAGCACTCAGCCACGGGGATTTGTGCGCGTCCACTGTGGTCCGATGTAAATAAATAATAGAAAATAATGATTGTGTTTTGCTTCATTTGCTTCCGCTGCTTTACTGTGTGCTCTGCGTTGTTGATCCCTTTATCCGTCACGTTGAGCGCATCCCAGACACACTCATATGTATGGCACGCATACATCTTTTTGCATGGACGCATGTCTATTTGTGAGTGCATGTGTGCTGGAACTATTCGATGCGGTTTCTTGTTTTTTTTTTACTGTTTTAGTTTATTGCTGCTTGTTTACTCTTTTTTTAATTTTATGTGTAGTTTTGGTTTGCAGGGCGGTGTGTGGTTTTTGAAATTGTACGGATATCACGTGTCTCATGGTGTGCGCGCTGCTACTGCGCTGCTGCTTTTTGCTTTGCAGTGGCTGTGTGACTTATAGCTGCCGTGTCTTTTCTTTTTGCTTTCACTCTGCGTTGACGTGGCGTTAGTTTGTGCTGAAGGCTGCACGCAAGTGACAGGAGTGATGGCGATGATGATGACTGGCCGTGTGCTGCTGGCGTGTGCCCTCTGCGTGCTGTGGTGCGGTGCCGGCGGTAGATGTGACGAGGGAAAAATGGCAGGCTCTGGGAGTGGTGGTAAAATTCCGCCGGAATCAAAAGAACTTGAAAAGTCTCCAGAAGGACCCCAAGGCTTACCAGATGGAGTACCAGGCGTTAAAGAAAATGTAACACCTGCATTTCCCACACCTACAGAGGAAGTGGACGATGATGAAGAAGATGATAGTGACGATGATGAAGATGCAGAGGCGGAAGATGGAGAAACCGAAGAGGAAGAAGGAAAAATAAGAACAGCAGGGCAGAGTAATAAAGAAGGAACAGTTCTACCAGACTCAGGTTCCAGGGAAGAGAATTCAGGTGGCAGTGAGGAGAAAACAGGCCAGTCAATTCTATCTACACAGGACATTTCTCATTCCGACAGTCAGGAATCAAATGCTAATACTACGCAACCGGAAGTTGAAGGAACGAAGACCACCGGCAAAAATACACCTGCAGTAGAGAATCCACTCACAACAGTTAATGGAGAGAACACACTGTCTGGGGGTATTGCGGAAGGAAATCTTCCACCATCTCCAGAAGAGGGTGTTGATTCCCACGAACAGGATGGCAAAGACACGACGAGTGAAGATAAAAAAATGCTCCGTCGCCTGAGACCGCAGACACACCACAAAGCCACCGAGACGAAGGCTCAGAAGGGACTGGGGAAGATACAAAAGCAACGACAGTAAACGCCAACACAACTAATACGACGAACACACAAAACACTGATGGCAGCACCGCGGTCTCCCACACCACCTCCCCTCTTTTGCTTCTTCTTCTTGTTGCGTGTGCGGCTGCTGCTGCGGTGGTGGCCGCGTGAGAGTGAGGGAGGGAGAGCCGTGCACCGCCCGCACACACACTCGTCCTTCACTCTCTGTGTGTGTCCCCTTGCATGGACTCTCGCCCTCACCTCACCCCACGAGACACACACAATAATGTGCCCATTGTATATATGCATGCACACCCATGCAGGCTCGTTGGTGCTCTCTTTTGCACGACACGCACCGCTGCCGTCCTGCCTGGCTGCATGGGTGGAGCACCGTAACTGTTTCTGTTTTGTTTTTATTGCATTGAGTGGGCGACCTCTCTCTCTCTCCCTCTGTGTGTTTTTTGCTTTACGGGGGCAATGAGTGTGTGTGTGCGTTGGTCGTCCCACGCTTCGGCATTTTTTTTTATTGTTTTTTTGTAAAGATAATTTTTTTATCCGTTTGCTTCAAAATTCTTTGCTGTTTTTTTTTTGTTATTAATTTGTGCATTTTAATGTTTTACTCCCCACCCCTTCTTTTTTTGCTTTCGGGGGGCAATCACTGTGAAGACTTTTTTTTTCTTTTTTACTCTTCCCTCCTTTAATTGTTTCTGCTGCACTCTTCCTGTGAGGGGTGCCGTGTGTTTCCGCCCAACTGCTCCACTCGCACACCCACCGACACGCTCATGACGACGGCCCTGTGCGCCTCGCCTGCTGCACACATGAGGAGGGGCCGCGACGAACGGCGCGCTGAGGGAGCCGTGACGTGTGGGCGTGCGACGAGGGCCTGTGGGGCGGAGCACACATTTCTTTCCCTCCTGTTTTTTGTTTTCTTTGCGGCGAGGGCGGGCAGACACCCGCAGCGCCACACACACAGCCACACCCTGCCGCCGTGTTTTTTTTTGTGGATGGTGTGTGCTGCCACCGTGCGTGATTGTTGAGGTTGAGGCCGTACCGAATGTACCGCTGCCATCCAGCTGTGCCTCTTGCTGTGTTGATGTGCCTCCCTGTGCTCCCATTTTTTTTGCACCTTCATCACATACCCACACACATATAAGTATTTGCACAGTGCTCTGTAGGAATGTTTTTGGTAACGAGGGACGTTGGCTTGCATTCCGTGCTGAAATGATGACGCTGCACGATGGCTTCCTCTGACGATGACAGTCGCTGTGTTCTCGGTACACATCCACACACTCCTCCTTGTCTCTCTGTGGGAGTGAGTGCAGCAGGAGCGTGGTCTATGGCTGCGGCTGTTGGTGCTGCGGAGGACGAGGCGCCGAGGGAGAAGAAGCTGAACCCATTGGGCGAGATTACGATGGCGGATGAATGCATTTTGACGGTCTTTTATCGGGCTTTTTCAGAAGTGCGGCGTGTCGCCGCCTGACGGGATGCCTGCACTCGGCACCCTTCGAGGCATTGTGTTCTTTCATTCAGTGTAATGCCACAATTATCATGACAGCACCTTCCCTCAACGGCTCTGAGTGTGACAATACGAATGACGGCAAGGAGAGCGATGAGGATTATGGTGACGACTTGCACCGAGGGGCGGATTCTTTGCGTGTCTTGGCACACGAATCCCGGGAGGGTTTGAATGCCGTTCCCACAATTCCCGGCCTTGCGGAACCGTTGGCTTTCGCGCTGTCACCCGCCGTAATTGGTGCCCATGCGTTGAGGCTGATCCATTTACCGTGGAGTTCACGCAGCAGCTCTCGAGTGGTTGTGCTGCTGGTCCCGCGTTGGCCCTTTCGCATGTATCTCAGCGTTGCCTGGCGTGTGATTTGATGTCTGTG